ACTCAATTAAACAAGTTACCAAACCATCCAGATATCTTTTCGCAAAAAATCCTCCAAAGCCTCCAAATCCATCCTCCTCTCCATGTTCATTCGCCATGCTTTTGTTCTCGCACTTTCGCGCGAGATTTCGTTTTTTTTTTTTAATTTCATCTTGAAAATGAAACACAATTGATCTCACGGAATTTTGCGTGACCACGCAGGATTATGCACGATCTCACAGGATTACACGCTATCTCACAAATTTCACAACTTTTCTTTTCATTTCAAATGTGTATCGATTTTTTTTTCAATTTAATTATTTTTTTCTGCTTGGCCCTCCTGGGATTCTAAAGACAACACCATCATGCAGAGTAACGGTAATGATTACAAACAAATAGAGTGACAGAACTGACATACACAGTGCTCACAATAAATACAAACACAAACATTAACAACACCAACAAACAGAGTAATCAAAATAAATAGAAACAAACACAGTCATAAAACAGAAATACACAGTGATTAGAAAAAAAATTTCACATGTACATTGACAATAGTAACGTGCACCGTAATGATAATGAACACAAGGGAAAAAGAGTGAAAACGAAGTCATACACAGTCATCTCAATATGAACAAACACATTCAGTAATAATACAGAATAGACACAGCAAACAATATAAACAGACATATCGATATACAGTGACAACACCATCATGCAGAGTAATAATATTGAATAAAAACAAATAAGAATGACAAAACTGATGACATAGTGCTCACAATAAATACAAACACAAACAGTAACAACAACAACAAACACAGTAATCAAAATAAATACAAACAATAAAGTCAAAATACAGACATACACAGTGATCAGAAAAAATTTTTGACATGTACGGTGACAACAGTAACGTACATAGTATCAAGAAAGAAGACCAGGAAAAAAGAGTGAAAACATAACCCTACACATACAGTCATCACAATATACAAATACATTCAGTTACAATACAGAATAGACACAGCAAACGTAAGATAAACAACGTGCACAATAATCAAAATGAATACAAACAAACACAGTCACAATACAGACATACTCAGTGATCAGAATAAATTTTAACATGTACAGTGGCAACACAACCATGCACAGTAACACGAAAACACAAATTAATAGGGTGATTACACAGTTATACACAGTGATCACAATATATATACAAACACATATGACAATACAGAATGGAAACAGGTATCAGAGTATAAACAGACACATAAACTATGATGACACTAACAACAACAACATACACAGTTAAAATAATGACTAGAAATAAATAAAATGACAAAACTGACATCCACAATGCTGACAATAACGATAAACACAGACAATGCCAACACTAAAATGCACAGTAATCAAAATGACTACAAACAAATAGAGTGGCAATTAAAACTGACATACACAGTGCTCACAATAAATACAAACACAAACAATAACAACACCAACAAACACAGTAATCAAAATAAATACAAAAAAAAACAAAAAAACAAAAAAAAAAAACAGTCAAAATACAGACATGCACAGTGATCAGAATAATAAATTTTGACATGTACAGTGACAACAGTAATGTTCAATGTAATGAGAATAAACACAAGGAAAAAGAGTGAAAACGAAGTCGTACACAGTCATCTCAATATGAACAAACACATTCAGTAATAATACAGAATAGACACAGCAAACAATATAAACAGACATATAGATATACAGTGACAACACCATCATGCAGAGTAATAATATTGAATAAAAACAAATAAGAGTGACAAAACTGACTTACATAGTGCTAACAATAAATACAAACAAAAACAGTCACAATACAGACATACACAGTGTACAGTGACAACAGTAACGTTCATCGTAAAAAGAAAGAAGACAAGGAAAAAGATTGAAAATATAGCAGTACACAGTCATCGCAATATATACAAATTTTTCAGTAACAATACAGAATAGACACAACAAACATAAGATAAACAGACACACAGGCATACAGTGACAACACCATCATGTACATCATAGTAAAAGTAATGATTACGAACAAATAGAGTGACAAACTGACATACGCAGTGATCAAAATAAATATTAACATGCACAGTGATAATAGTAGCGGGCACTGCAATGACAATGAACACAAGGAAAAAGAGTGAAAACATAGACGTAAATAGTCATCACAGAATATAAACACATTCAGTAACAATACAGAAGACACACAACAGACAGAATATAAACAGACACATGCACAGTGTTCAGTGACAACAGTAACGTACATCGTAAAAAGAAAAAAGACAAGGAAAAAGAGTAAAAAACAAAGCCGTACACAGTCACCACAATATAAACAGACACATAGATATATAGTGAACAAAATCATCATGCAGAGTAGTAGTAATGATTATAAACAAATAGAGTGACAAAACTAACAGACAAAGTGCTCATAATAAATACAAACACAAACAGTGACAACACAAACAGGCACAGTAATCAAATGAAATACAAACAAATACAGTCAAAATACAGACATAAACAGTGATCAGAATAAATTTTTGACATGTACAGTGACAACAGTAACGTACATCATAAAAAGAAAGAAGACAAGGAAAAAGATTGAAAACACAGAAGTACACAGTCATCGCAATATATACAAAACATTCAGTAACAATACAGAATAGACACAGCAAACATAAGATAAACAGACAGACAGGCATACAGTGACAACACCATCATGCAGAGTAATAGTAATGATTACAAACAAATAGAGTGACAAAACTGACATACACAGTGCTCACAATAAATACAAACACAAACAGTAACAACACTAAAAACAGAGTAATCAAAATAAATAGAAACAAACACAGTCACAAAACAGACATACACAGTGATTAGAAAAAAAATTCACATGTACAGTGACAACAGTAATGTTCAAAGTGATGAGAATAAACACAAGAAAAACGAGTGAAAACGAAGTCGTAAGCAGTCATCTCAATATGAACAAACACATTCAGTTATAATACAGAATACACACAGCAAACAATATAAACAGACATATAGATATACAGTGACAACACCATCATGCAGAGTAATAATAATGAATAAAAACAAATAAGAGTGACAAAACTGACGTACATAGTGTTCAATATAAATACAAACACAAACAGTAACAACACCAACAAACACAGTAATCAAAATAAATACAAACAAAAACAGTCACAATATAGACATACACAATGATCAAAATAAATTTTGACGTGTACAGTGACAACAGTAACGTTCACCATGAGAATGAACACAAGGGATAAAAGTAAAAAATATAGCCACACACAGTCATCACAATATATACAAACACATTCAGTAACGAAACACAGCAAACATAAGATAAACAAACACACAGGCATACAGTGACAACACCAACATGCACAGTAATAGTAATGATTACGAACAAATAGAGTGACAAACTGACATACACCGTTATCAAAATAAATATTAACATGTACAGTGATCATAGTAGCGTGCACTGCAATGAGAATGAACACAAGGAAAAAGAGTGAAAACATAAACATAATTAGTCATCACAGAATATAAACACATTCAGTAACAATACAGAATAGACAACAGACAGAATATAAACAGACACATAGAGATATATAAGATAAACAAACACACAGGTATACAGTGACAACACAATCATGCAGAGTAACAGGGTACGAAATAAGGACCGTCCGGCAGCCCGGGACGGCTCAATTATCTCCCGGGCGGTCTCTTTCCAAAAGTTGCCAGTCCGTCGGTCTGGCCATTTTCTGGCCTCTAAAATAATTGTATAGCAATATGCACATTCATATTAAGCACATTTGGTTGAAATAAAACAAAAACAATGAGGCTCACCCTTCAAGAAATTGTCACTCTCTACAAATGAACTTAAACCGAAAGTACATGCTTAGTCACCGTTTTCCCGGCATGCCTAGCGCAAAGATCCTCAAGCGGCAATCCTCGGCTCATTCCGCAAACACAAGTACATATTGTTGAGCGCGGAGACATCCTAGTAATTCCGAGTGCAAAGATCCTTCGTGTCTGATACAAAGTATCAAACGCGGCATTTACATGCTTGTTTATGAGAATAATGAACAATACGTGATCATTCAATTTCAAAACAAGACAATCTCTTCTTATTACAAAGATTAAGTTTTGATTTTTCTATAATCTGTAATTGTAATTTTCTTAACATTTACGTAAGCTACCATTTCTTTCTCATAAAAAAATATTTGAATGACGTCAGGACGCATGTGGAGTCTACAAGATAGCGTCTAAGAAGTCGCAGTCCACCTTGTACAAATATTTTGGTGTTAATAGTAATAATGAAAGTGATGCCCCAGCACTCAAGAAAAAAATGCAGGAAGATATCAGACAGTCCAATAAAGTGTATGATGACACCAAAAGGAAAAGGTCAGTTGTGCCATCATGGAAAACTGAATTTTCGTGGTTAATTTTTGATGACACTGACAGTTTAAACGTCAAACTTTTTTGCAAGACCTGTTGAAGTGCATTTGCACCATTGGTTTCAAGGAAACAACCAGATAGATTTAACAAGTATGCCCATGGTGTGTTTGTAATAGGCGGGTCATGCAACATTAGGCATCACTCACTAGCTACTCATGCAGTGTCCGAAGGACACCGTTATGCCGAGCGATATTTGTCAGCAAAAAGGGACTCCTCTGGCACAAGTATTGCAGAAAAGTCAATTCAAGCCCTCAATAAGTCAACTTTTGATAAAGTTCAGCACCTGGTACAAACTGTTCATGCACTTACCAAAAAGTCTCAACCACTTTCCGATTTTGTGTGGCAGTGTAAGCTCGATGAGAAAAAATGCACTGACATAGGTCAAACATACAAAAATGAACACAGTGCCAAACAGTTTATGATATCAATTGCAGAGGTGGAGCGCAATAAGATTGAAGACATATGTTATCTCAGGCTACCTTTTTTACAGTTATGTCAGATGGTACAACAGATATTTCTGTTACAGAAAATGAGGTTGTGTATATCCACTTCGCCATAAATGGTGTCACTCATTGTTACTTTGTTGGGATGGTGGCTTGTGCATTTGCAAATGCTGCAGGTATTTATGATGCCATAATGACAGCCCTGAATGCAACGGAACTGAGATTGGAGGACATTAAGAGGCGAATAATAGGATTTGCAGGAGATGGAGCTTCAGTTAACACGGGACAGATCTCAGGGGTTATAGCTCTGTTTAGAAGAAATATATCGCCAGAAATCATTATGGTACAATGCATGTCACATCGTATTGAGTTATCATTCAAAGATGTTCTCTCCAACACACCTCTCTACAAGAAGGTATACACTTTGATGGATGAATTGTACAAGATGTATCACAAAAGTGCCAAGCAGACAAGAGGTCTCCGTGCATCATTTGAGGCTCTGAAGATGTGGGCTATGCCAACTAGAGTTGGTGGCACTGGGTGGCTTGGGCACACTATGACAGCACTGAATGTAATCTGGAAAGGCTACAAAGCCTTTGCCCTGCATCTGAATGAGGTACATATTTTCCACATTGACAAATGGAAGTGTATATTTTTATTTTTTTAAAGTTATAACAATAACTGTAAACCTGTAACAAGAACATATAAACTGACAAATATAGTCAATCATCAATATAATATCACAATGATGATATTTAGATGTATTTTTAACAATATAATAGATCTAAACATATAACTATAATTAATATTATATAATAGGCATAAGTAAATAAAAAGTTAACAACAGCACAATAAATTTCTGTGATATTATTAACGTAAATGATATGGTCAATTTTACTGAATCTCAGATTATGCGACTCTATTTTTTGTTTCTTACAAAAGGTAGTTAGTATTCCCAGTGGAACATCAGCAGTACAACCCAAAGCCAAGCACCTGATCAAGCTCCTGAGATCAAAAGATGTAATGCTCTTTGCCCATTTTCTCACAGATCTGGTTGCTGTACTTGTGAGGTTGTCCATGGCACTACAGAAGCGACAGACATGTATTTATGAAGTCCGTCAGGAGTTGGAAACCACCACACTCAACATCATCAACCTTCATACCAGGTCAGCAAATTTAATAGCGTTGTATAAAAAACTATTTCTTTATGTTATCATTTCTGCTTCTTCTGGATGAAAGCTTACAATTAAAGTACAGGTCACTGCAAATTGTGTGTGCCTGCTTGTAGTTTGTTAGACAAATGTAGTGACTTGTTGATTCAGTTTTGCACTAGGGGATGTTAACTTTGTATTTTCAGTCCTGGCCTGAACATGAGGAGACTACAAGCTGCCCTGGCTGTGGGTGATAAGTATCAAGGGGAACAACTACATGGGCAATCTGCAACTTATGAAGCCCAAAAGAGGAAAGTTCTGGATAATTTGGTGTCATCTTTGGATAAACAATTTGCTGACATTGACAAGGGTCTACTCAGTTGCACCAGTATAGCCAATTTACAGTCTTGGCCTCCCACATTTGAAGATGCTCCAGGTCAGCATTAACAGTTCATTTCTGTTGTAAATTCTGCTAAGTTACTATTGCAAATCTTTTTAAAATAATCTAAGAAATTTATCTAAAGAACAGTACTGCCTCAAATATTTTTAGAAGAGGTTTATTGACATTTTTCATGAGTAACATAAGTGTCTTATAATTAAGTATACTAATATTTTTGTTCTGATTTTATCTGTTTCACAGATTTTGGTAATGACATGCTGGCACAAGTGGTAGATCACTTTAATAACCATCTGCAGCAAAGTGTGGACTTGGCTGTCATGGATGCAGAATGGACCTCTTTAAAACATGACCTCTACGAAAAGTAGTATGTACATCATTATGAGCAAATAGAGATAGATAGTAAATGGTGAAACTTGGAACCAAACTTCAAAACTAAATTGGTATAAAAAATTCAGTTAGAAAGGATACTTAACTGTTACAATAACCATAATTCTCTCAACAATGTGTTTTCAATTTTAAATAATTTAAATATAAATTAAAAATCAAATAAATAAGATCTGACATTCAAATATCAATTAAATAAATAAAACTGCATTCTATTATGTTGAAATATAACATGAAAGCAATTAAAGGTAATGCATATTTATTTTCAGTCACAAAATGCACACCTTGTCTTGGGAGACGATCAATAGTCTGCATCAACCAAAGCATGCTAACATCTTGAAGGTCGTGGATTTGATTCTTTCACTTCCTGCAGGGACCTCGGAATGGAGAGAGGTTTCTCTCAACTAAAAATCATTAGGACCCAGTTGAGAAACAAACTGAGGGCTTCCACCCTGACAGCACTCCTGACCATCCAGCTCCATTCTGCAGAGATAGCAGAATATGACCCAACCCCTGCCATACATTGCTGGAACACCCAGAAAAGACGGCGGCCTTTATTCCTGAGGTCTGTCAGCAGAGGTCATTGCAGAAGGCCTGCTGCAGATGAAATGAGATACTTAAAGGCAGAGGCAGAAGCAGATGCTGCTGCGCCAGATGTCCAGAAACCCGAGGATCCAAACCTAGACTCTGATTATGACAGTCACAGTGAATCAGACTTTTCCGATTTGGGATCAGCGCATAATGTTTCAGATGCTGACAGTGAAGAATCTGTACTTGAATAAATTCACCTTGAGACTAAGAGTCTTTGTTTTAATATCAATCTTGTCTTCAATTGATTTAATTATGCTGTCCGGCTTCAAATTTACACGAATTTCATACCCTGAGAGTAATAGTAAAGATTACAAACAAATAGTGACAAAACTGACATACACAGTGCTCACAATGAATACAAACACGGACAGTGACAACACAAACATGCACAGTAATCAAAAAAAAAAAATAATAATAATAATAATAATAATAATAAAAGAATAAAAACAAGCACAGTGAAAATACAGACATACACAGTGATCAGAAAAATAAAATTTGACATGTACAGTGACAACACAACCATGCACACTAAAAAGAATGAACACAATTTAATCGGGTGATTACACAGTCACACACAGTGATCACAATATATATATGCAAACACATTCAATGACAATACAGAATGGAAACAGCTATCACAGTATAGACAGATATATAAACTATGATGACACACAACTGTGATGACAACACCAACCCGCACAGTTAACATGACTAGAAATAAATATAATGACAAAACTGAGATCTACATTGCTGACAATAAATATAAACACAAACAATGCCAACACTAAAATGCACAGTAATCAAAATGACTACAAACAAATAGAGTGACAAAACTGACATGCACAGTGCTCACAATAAATACAAACAACACCAACAAACACAGTAATCAAAATAAATACAAACAAAGAGTCATAAAACAGACATACACAGTGATTAGAAAAAAAATTCCACATGTACCATACTAGTATTAAGAATGTGTATATTTACCCCGTGGACCATTTGAAGATTCACTGCGATTAATGCGGTGGAAAATACAATAGAGGGAGTGTATAATGATAGGGTCGCTAAACGATTGTTGACCGCATATAGTAATTAGCCTAATCCCCTGGCCGCCTGGGTAGCCATGCCCCCTTAGAGTACTTATGTAAACAAACGGTCTCCCATAGCGAACTATCCTTTAGTTCAACAGCTTCGCGCGTGCAGCTGATTATGTATGTAGTGACACTATCGCTATCTGCATATAAATTTGTGCTAGCAGTTATTTGATTCATTCTGCCGGGTCGGATGTTGTGGATCAGCCCACTGGTTCGTTGACTTATTTTTTCTGAAGATTGGTGATGCAGATTTTGAGGGCTTAATTATTTACCCTCCTTCTAACAAGAGAAAGGGGAAGGGAGAGAAAAAGAGAGAGTGTCAAATGAAATGGGTAATGAGTAATACAATACAATACATTAAATAAAGGGACTCGCGGTGGAAGAAACGATAGACTGTTTTGCATCAAGGTATGCCATTATAATCCGACATGGCCCATAACAGGAGGGATTATACTTTAAATACAGACCCATTGTTGTATGACTTATATTTGTGCCGACTTGTATTTTACTCTCGTTTATTTCGGGAAACTATTTCCTTGAATAAAGTTTTGCCTGTATAAATTTACTTTGTGATATGAAGTAATTAATAAAACATGCCTGTTGAAAAGGGGGCTATTCGTAACTAATAAAGGTTCACTGTTCAGAAAAATATCGTTGCTGTTCGTCGCCGATACCTTCAGGAAAGCGTACCATCTGCTTGGATCACTGTCATTTAAGGGCAATTTACATTTTAGCTAATAATTCTGAATTTACTAATATTTTGGCCTAAATTCGATGTCAGATTCATAGCCATGACGCAAAGCCGCCAGAGTAACTGTTTAAATTTCCAAACATTCTATTTCGTTTTTTTCCTAATGTTTTTTAATTATCAGACGAAAACGTTTTCATGTTTAACTTTTATCCAACTGTACATACACCATTCTGGACTATCTTATTTTATCCAACTACACATACAAATACCACT